AAGGGCCACTGCTGAGCGTCCAGCTGCTCATTTCCATCAGCTCTAAAATTCCACCTGCTCCTGCAAGTTGTACTAAACTGCTCGTGAGGTATTGTGTAAAAAAATGGGTCAGAATATCCGTTTTTGCTCAAGTTACACACCCCCTGACTTCCAGGGAGTTTAACTGCAGAAATACTGCTGGATGAGCTCCAGGGAGAGTTCCTCGCTTCTAAGGATAGAATTTGGCCCCACAACCTGCTCAGAAATCTGAAGGGAGCTGTGTGTAAAACTGTGTTAAAGCAGGGATCAGGAACAGCTCCCGCTAATTGGGTTTTAATGTAGCTCACACCCAGTGTGAGCCAGCCTGAACGTTCAAGGTGTTAAAAGGAAGCATTTTGGTCCATTTTTCACTGAAGTGGTGCAGAAAGACAGCAAGTTTCTACATTATAGTCATGTTTCTGTGTTATTATATCATGTTTTGCAAACATGCATCCACAGGCAATACATAAAATCTTAATAGAAATGCCTGATATTTGATGGAATCCCAGCCTGGTTTGGGCTGGAAGGGACCTCAAAGCCCATGCAGTGCCACCCCTGCCATGGGTTGACACCTTCCACTGTCCCAGGCTGCTCCAAAGCTGTCCTACCTTGTTTGGACACCTCCAGGGATGGGGCAGCCTCATAAAAAGAGCAAAACATTTGAATTAAACAATTATCTCTTCACATATCACTTGCTAGGTCAGTCTGTGGTAGGGTGACAGGTTCAACATGGCTTTAATAATAAAGAAGCCTGAAAACTGCTAAAAATCTGCTGTCTTGCTTGGATGGATGGTTTACATCATTTATTGTCAGGACAAGTTCTGCAGTGTGAGTGTGAACCTGTTCTTCCCAGGTCCAAGAGCCAGATGGAGTTTTGGGGCTCAGGTGGGAGCTGCTGCTGCAGTGGGAACTGCTGGTTTTTAGGAAGATTTGGGTATTTTTCAACTGTTGTGCTTGAAAGTTTTGGGTTGTTTTGCTTTTGGGTTTGGTTTTTTTGTTTGGTTGGTTTTTGTTAGGTTTTTTTTTGTTTTTTTTGCTAATAGAAATAACAGTGAGAACCAATGAGTGAAAAAAAAAACACCAAGAAAAGTTGTCTGTGTAGTACCCCAGGCAGGCTGTGAAAAAGCTGCCGAGGAGGAGCAAGTGTTTATAACTGTCTTTGCATTTGCAAAACTCTGGGGGGAAAAACAAACAAACAAAAAGAAAAGCAGGGAAAAAAAAAAAAAAAACACAAAAATAAACCAGCACGACAAACAAAAACTAACATTCCCAGCAATCAGGGTTGAGGGGAAGGAAAAATCAGTCTGTCTTTAATTCCTCTTAATCAAAGAGAAAAAAAAGGGTGGAAAATCAGGCTGTGGGGTTTTTTGAAGGTGAGATACAGGGGCACAGGAAGGGACTGACACTGGTCCTTCTGGTCTTTCCTCATCCATCCCAAATCCTGAGGGACTGAGCCCCTCACCAACCCCAAAAATCCTTGTTAGAAATTAGATAAAACATATATATATATGGGTAAATAATATATAATAGATACTATTTAGTGTAAGGTGTCCCTGCTTATGGCAAGGGGGTGGAATGAAGTGATTTTTAAGGTCTCTTCCAACCTAGACAGTTACATAATTCCATGATTATTAGTTTGAAGTGTATGATTTTCCTTCTTTGGACCAATTCCCACCTTCAGTTCCACTGTTAAAAGTTACAATACAGCTGGTGTTCAAGTAAAATTGATTTTCTCTCCATTATCCCCATGGATTTAACATGTTTGTGTGGAGAATTAAGGCCCAGTGGGCTGGTAGGAGGGACCTATGAGCATTTAGGCATTAAAAGAGGTTCAGGTTAATTTACCTGAAAATATTCTTCCCTGTGAGGGTGGGGAGTGGATGGGATGGTGTCGAGTTTTATCTTCTTTTTTTCTTCAGAGAGGTCCCAATCCTAATTGGTGTCCTCCTCACACAGGACCACCACTAATGTCAATTCTTCACTTTTGCTTCTGCCAAGGTCAGGATTAAATGTGTGAGAGGGAATTTCTTGTTGGGACTCAGGTGTTTATCAGTTCTTGTCTCTGTCACAGTCTCACAAACCCTGAGTTCTGCAGCACTTCAACAAACTAAAAATGGAGCCCATCTCTCTCTCTACAAGGCTTTTTAAGGAGAAACTGTCCAATTAAGAAATGGCACCTCAATTATTTTTACTTTTAACTTAATAACCAACTACCTGTGATCTGCAATGTGGACTTTTCATCCAATTACACAAAACCACCCAAACCCATGGAGAAGAAGGTGAAGATGAAAAAGAAAAAGGACCAACCACTGGCCTAAAACTTCCATCTTGCGTTATATATATTGCTATATTCTAAACCCTTAAACTCTAGGTTTCCCACCCAGTGATATCACACACTTCTACCCAAACTCCACCCCCACAGTCCCAGTTCTGCCATTCCATTTTGGAAGCTGCTCCACGGCCCCAGGTCAATGCAGAGTTCTCCTGGGGGTCAGTGCCTGGCAGCACAGAAAGTCTGGAATTCTCAGCAGCCAGGGCTCCAACAGGATGGAATTCCCAGTCCAGGCTGGGCCCTGGGATGGTGGAAGGTGTCCCTGGTGGTCAGGGGCTCTCCTGGTCACCTGGAGAGGTTTTTTGCTGGTCCCACGTGCAGGTGGGGGCACAGCAAGGACAAAACCTCGTGGTGCTCCTGCTGATCAGCCTCGCCAGGACATGGAGTTCTCATGGAGCCAGAGAATTCCTGTGTGTTTGTTTTCATGTGGGGATTTCTCAGCACTTTATATTGATATTTACAGCGTAAAACATTGGCACACCGTGACAATTGGGCAGAGTTCAGGCACCTGATCTGGGCAGGTTGTGCTCACAGGCACTCACAACTGCAGACAGTTCAATAACAGGATTTGGCACTGCCTCTTCGAGCTGCTTAAACTAATTAATGCCTTTGCTCCCCGCAGGATGAAATTGAGTTTTCAGCTACATTTCCAAAATGATGTGCCTGATCGCTAAATATTTCGTTCTTTTGAACTCTTCACAAGTGTTTTATGTGGGAGCAGAGGCATGGGTTTCTCCCATGAAAAATGCCCAGTGGAGAATCTGTGCCCCTGTGTGTGAGAGGAGGATCATCTGCCAGCCTGTCCTCGGGAATTTGGGCATCCCTTGGGGCTGTGCTGGTGCTGGGGCTCTGCAGCTGCCCCTTCCTCTCCCAGCTGCTCCGTGTCCTGGTGCACTTTGCTCCATTTTCTCCCTGGTTCCAACAGGTTCCCAAAAAGTTTCAGGTGCGTCCCACCCCAGCCTGCCAAAACTGAGGGTAAAAACGGAATTTTCAGGACTGGGTGTTGGTCATTTAAAAGATGCCATGGGGCAGTGACTCCCCAAGACCCCTGAGCAGGGGGGTTATAGCTAATCCTGCCAGATGAAAAAGGTTAGGAAAATAATAAGGACCAGCTTGATCTGAAATAAACCTTTCTGAAGGAATCACAGTAAACAAAATCTGTTTGCCTAAGGAAACCCTTGTAGCAATCAGCCAGTAACACAACTGCTTGTGCTAATGAACCCAAAGCTGTTAATGTGGTTTCTTCAGTTAAATTGATTCATGAATTTTGAAGAGAACATTATCTAATGAATTTTCTTTGAATAGAAAGCAATTAAAAGGACAAATCAGTCTGATTAACCCCAAAGTCACCCTACTGCCACAAATGGTGTACAGTTTGAAATTATATCATAAAAAACTAGAGCAGATTTGCTATCTCTTTGCCCTCTACTAATCCATGTAAATTAATGAACAACAAAGTTAATTTCTTTGATGACCCTTTTCTCGTATCACCTGGATTATGCTGATGTTTAATTTGCTTAATGTTATAATAAAGACTAAACAGATTTTTTTCAATGAAGTGATTATCATTCCCTTCAGTTAAGAAGTGATTTTTATTATTTAACACACACATAACGCTGTATGGGTTTGCTTTAAGAACAAAATCACTTTTCTTTACCTTCTTATGGAAGGTAATCAATGTCTTTTTTGACAACTAAAGAAAGAAAACATTTTTAATCAGTTTGTTTCTTTGCCAGAGTGGGAGGTTGAGGCTCTCAGCTGGGGGAAGGAGTCTCTTCTCCTTTTTTTTCCTCTTTTTTTCCCCTTTTTCAGTCACCAGCTCACTCCTCTCAGTAAGTTATCCAAGAGTTGGCTCTTCAGAACCTTTCCAAGTGCCTTGGAGGAGCAAGAGGCGTTCAACCCAACTCACATCCAAACAGGACTATCCCTTTTCCTTCCTTGAACAATCCTGGGCTGGGTAGCACCCTGAGATGCCAAAGAAAGCCTCTCCTAATGCATATGCTTATTCATTATTTCAGCAATTGGAACACTTAAAGCAATTTGCTGCCGAATTAAAATTAAAATAACGGCCGATACATTATATTTTTTTTTTTCCCCTGTATCATTAAGGATGTGCAGGACATTCAAGGTCACAGCTAGTCCTTACACTTGGCAGTGTGTGCAGTAGCTCGGGGGTCCCCACTATAAAATGCAGGCAGGCAGGGTAATTTGGAGTTTGCTGGCTCTAGGGCGTCTCTGCCACGTCCCAGCTGAAGTTGGAAATTAGCTGGAGATGCCAGGCCTTTGTCAGATAGGTACAGCCACTTATTCCATCCCTTTTAATTTGACTCTATGCTAATTTATACTCCACCAATTTAATGGGAAAAGCCACATTGTGCGAGCTAACAGGATAATTGTACTCGAAGCAAATTAAAAACATAGGAAAATCAAAGCCTTAAATCCTTTTTTTATAGTGATCAGTTAGTCCAAGCGTTGTCTCCAATAATCATGTATTTAAATGTAGTCATACAGGGCACCAGAACAGGACAGTGCACGGGGCTGCTCCATTTAAATTACAAAACTGCCACTGAGTCTTGCTTTACGTTGGGTTTTTTGACTGTTCCGCCCTCATTTCTCCATCCAAGCCGCACTCTCTCCCTCTGCCTTGCAGATTCCTTCACCAGGCAGGTGCTGTGGACCCTGCTGAAGGATGTCAAGTTTGGGGAGGCAGTTTCCTACAAGCAGCTGGCAGATCTTGCTGGCAACAGCCGGGCAGCCCGAGCCGTGGGGGGAGCCATGAGGAGCAACCCGGTGAGTCCACGGCACCTGCCAGCCCTGAGCTGCTGGGGATGCTGGGTTTAGAGAGCTCTGCAGGCTAAATGTCATCAGGTTAAATTTATCTGCTCTGAAAACCGGTCTGCCATGAGGAGGAAGGTCAGTAAGTGGTTCTAATCAGCAATAATGCACAGCCTGGTTTAGTGTGATTGATGCCCCGCCGTTTGTGGGGTTGGGTTGGGAGGAGAGACACTTCTGTTACTCGCCAGGCTCTGCACAGTTTGTTGTTCTCAAACTTCCTTACGTATTTTTAGGTTGAGGAAGTCTTTTATCTTCCACATGGACTTAAGTTGGCAGATTGTGAGTGCTTTTGGTTGTGTTAAAAACATCCAAAAGCCATCCACTCTGGGATAAATACAATTCTGAAAACAAGGCCAGCAGCACCCTGGGATAGTGGAAGGTGTCCCTGCCCATGGCAGGGGCGGGAATGGGATGAGTTTAAGGTCCCTTCCAACCCAAACCAGGCTGGGATTCGGGAGGTGAGTTGCCTGAATTTGAACCAGCTGAGGGGAGCAGCACTCTAGGCTAGGCATATGGATTTGGGGAAAAAATGTTGTTATGCTGAGTGAACTGTGTGTGTTTTTCCTTTTCTTTGGGTGTAGCTTTTGGGTGTGTTTGTGCACCCGAGTCCCCGGGGCTGCTGTGTGAAGCTGCTGTGGGGCTCAGTGGGTGCTGTGTGGGTTGGGATCAGCCCCATCCTGGAGGCTCTGGGGGCTCAGCTGGGTGTGCCTGCACGGCTCGAGGGGCAGTTCCACCCCTAAACCCACCCAGCCACGGCACCCCAGAACAATTCAGCCTGGAAGGGACCTAAAAGCCCATCTCATTCCACAGCTCCCCAGAGGCAGCACCCAGCCAGGGAGACCCTCACAGTTCCACGTGGGGCTCAGCTTTGAGCCCACCCTGTCTCTTGCAGCATCCCTCAGCTGTGCCTGTGAAGCAGCTCCTATCAGCAGTGTTTTGTCAATACCCCGCATTGTACTTGACAATACAAACTATTTTAATATGATGGAATGCTTTCCAATATAATCTGGTGTACATTAAGATAAGGCAATCCAATGCAAACCTACAGGAAACAGTTCTCAAAGAATAACAATCCAGTGTTGTGCAAAAGGAGATGTAATTGCCATCGCCTAGAAATGTACCCAGCTTTGCCCTCAGGCTGCAGTGGAGCAGCAGCATCCAAAGTAGCAGTAACAGCAGGTTGTGGTGTGAAAATTCCTGCTTTTTCCCCTGTGAGGAAGGATGAAAATAGTTCTGAAAATATACAGCAAAGCTCCTGCAATTTTTTTAAATGGGGTCCTAGTTATTATTGCCATTTCCCAGCCCATACTGTGGCTGCAGTGGTTTCTGTCCCCAGCAGAAAATTTTTAAGCTATGGTTATAGATAATAATGTATAGCTGTAGGGAAAAAGAGCTGTATTAATATAATACCACCTCAATATTTCATCATAGAAAGCTGATGATTAAAAAAAAAAAAAAAATCAGTGCTGTAATGAGAGTCCTGCCCATCTCAAACCACAATTTTGCCACTGCTCATCTCCTGGAGGTAATCTGAAATTCCATCCATATTCCACATGCAAAAACACACACACACACACACACACATCATCCTTTTGCACCTGAGTGTGAGCAACTGTTCACTGCTCCTGGTATTTCCCCCAGAAATGTCTCTGTGGTCCTTTGCCTGTGAGCCATCGTGTGCAGGCTGGCTGTGTGCAATGCACACAGATTTTATGCATGAGGTGAAAGATAAAGATAAAATGTGGCACTGCAAAAAAACCCCTCACCTTTGTTATTTCTGTGTGTAAAGTCGTCAACTCTTGCGAAAACAGATTTTCTGACCCAATTTGCAACTCCACATTGCAGCCTCATAGAAATCTGATTAAAGCAAATACTGAGAGGACCAGTGTGAAAAAACACAGGAGGTCAGAGATTGCTGGTAAGGGTTTAAACTCTCAGTCTAAACCCCAAACCCATCCCTGGAAGTGCCCGAGGCTTAGATGGGGCTAGGAGCAACCTGGTGTGGTGGAGGATAATTTGTGATAACCTCATTTAGTGAGGATGGTAGTACGAGGAAATACTTCGAAATAACCCTGAGCTGGGCATCACATTGTCCCCCAAACACTTGGATAAACTCACAACCTCACCTTTCTCCACCAGATACCTGCATGTTTCTCCCTCCTATGAGTCAAGGCTTGGTCTTCAATTTGGGTAGAGCTCATTCCACAGGTTCCCCTCGCAGATGGGATGCTGCACGGAATTCCTGGGCTGACCTGCAGCTTCATGAGAAGGTGGAAGAGGTGGCAGCAGCAGCTGCCTCAGTTCATGCCCAGGAGAGGTGGGGATGGCTCACCTTTCACAGGAGAGACTTCCCAGAGTTTGCTGTGGTGCACACGGCTTGCAAGGGCTGTGGTCCTCAAAGGGAACCCATAAAGTTCAATTAAAAATCTCATTAGACTGGTAGAGGAGGATCAAAAAGAAATCACAGAAGCTCATGGGAGATGGAGAATGTTGGGCTGATTAATCCAAGGCCATCCTAAATGAGTGCTCTGTGCCTTAAATAAGACATCTGCATGGGTCTGATCAGTCAGGGCTGCCTGCACTGGGTTTGTGCCCTGCCCAGCTGTGCTGGTCCTTGGGCTCACCCCAGCCAGGGGCACAGCCTGACCCTGGTACCAGGCTGTCCAAAATCGAGGATATTGCACCAACCCATCCTGAATCACAGACTGAGCACTGAGCTAAATCAGGGATAGTCAGCCAAAATGTTTGAGCTAAATCATGGATATTCAACCAAAATGTTTGAGTTAAATCACAGATATTCAACCAAAATGTTTGAGCTAAATCATGGATATTCAGCCAAAATGTTTGAGTTAAATCATGGATATTCAGCCAAAATGTTTGAGCTAAATCACAGATATTCAACCGAAATGTTTGAGCTAAATCATGGATATTTAACCAAAATGTTTGAGTTAAATCATGGCTATTCAACCAAAATGTCTGAGTTAAATCACGGATATTCAACCAAAATGTCTGAGTTAAATCATGGATATTTAACCAAGATGTTTAAGCTAAATCATGGATATTCAACCAAAATGTCTGAGTTAAATCATGGATATTTAACCAAAATGTTTAAGCTAAATCACGGATATTCAGCCAAAATGTTTTGAACACTGGAGGAGCAGCTGTGTGCTGTGAGAAAATTGTGATGGGTGGAGCTGAAACACATCAAGGTACCTGTGTGTTCATCCACTGAAGTAGGGAATGTTCTGAGCTGGAAGGGAAACAGAGATCTTCCAGTCCAGCCCGGGGCCCTGCACACACACCCCAAAAATCCCACTGAGAGCATTGTCCAAAGGCTCCTGGAGCTCTGGCAGCCTCGGGCTGTGCCCATTCCCTGGGGAGCCTGGGCAGTGCCAGCACCTTCTGGGGAAGAAGGTGAAGTATTTTCCTACTGTTTTCATTCCCAATACCTTTGCTTCCTTTGGTGGCCAGTGGTAAGCTGAGAGCCACGCTGGGTCACATCACAGGATTTGTTTCTGCTGGGGAAGAGGTGCAGAAAAAGCAGGTGGAAAGATCCCTGCCAGCCCAAGCCAGTCTGGGATTCTGTGACGTGAGCAAGGCACATGTTTTTTGCTGAGTGTGTCCCAGTGTGATCCCTCAGCCAGGCAGACTCAGCAGCTCTCCAGCCACACCATGGGACAGTTCCCTCAAACTGAGCACTGGGAACAACCAGGATTTCCTAAAAGAACTTCAGACTGATCCATCCTGTGGGCAGGGAGTTTCCTCCCCACCTTTTTTTCCCCAAAAAAAAACGCATTCTGGAGGAGTTGGTTCATTCACAGATCGCCAGGAGCATTAATGACCAGCCCAGCCTTGTTCTGCCACTCACCCAGATGGCTGTTGATAAAGATTTAGCATCATGTTCCGAGTGTCAGGGCTGTCAGTAGTGCTGAACCATTTGACCAGAAGAAAAAACGCACGGGGAGCTATTGATTACAGCTTCTCAGTGTCACTTGTTCACCAGGATTTAGGTATTGATGAGGCTGCGAGTGAAAACAAGCTCTTTCCCTTGTGGGCCTCTACCCAGAAGAACAAAAGCGAAGTTGGAGAAAATATTCAGCTGGTGCCCGAATCAGAGGGACTCCGGCATCGATCCAAAGGCTCCTTCATATTATTTTTTTGTTGGAGACAAATCTCTGGGTTTGGAAGTTTTATAGCGTTTGAGGTAGGGGCTGTGTGTGTGATGGATTCGTGGAGGAGAGGAATTAGATTTCACAGCATGAAGATTTCAGCGGTGCTATAATATTATGAGCTGCTTGGTTATTGATAAAAATTACATTAAATGTAGCTGAGGCATTAAAGCTCCAGACTAGGGTAGTTCTCCCTCTAAAATGTCCTTAGGGCCCTAATAAATTTTAGCAGGTTTAATTATTTTAGTAGGCTGAACGTTGTCACCACAATTAAGCCAAACTGAAGCAATATTCAATATTTTTAAATTACAGCTGGTATGGTCTTTGTACCACTTCTCCATCCAGGGCTGTGGAGGGTGACGGATGGGTGCGTGTGTTGGGACAATCTCAGCGTGGAATTCTTTGTTTTGGCCATGGAAAAAGTGGCATTAATTTCATACCTCCTCTGTCTGCTTGGTGGTGACAGCTCAGCCACATTTCCCTGTGCTGTGAGCAGGTCCTGCACCCACCCAGGGATCATCCAAGACCCCACATCTGTAAAAAAAGTCCTTTTTTTTCTTCTTCTCCACCAAGATTTATAGCCCTGCCACCAAAATCTGCTGCTTTACTGTGTGTATTTTTAAAGAATTGCAAATGAACCTCAGAGATGTTTTCCACTGTATTATTATGGCTTTGTCACTCAAGCCAAGCCTCCTGCAGTAACTGTGGGGAGTGTAAAGGCAGAGAAACCCCAAACCAGAAAAACACTTGCAAAAAAACCCCAATTTCTTTGAAGAAGTCATAAACCTACTGTGGGATGTCCTGGCATGAAGCAAAGCTTTTATTGGTACTCACTGCAGATGTCACAGATGGATTAATCACTTGTGGCATTGCCACCTCCAAATAAAGCAGATATTGGAGGCATTTTTTTATTTAAACCCTGATCAACAATAAGCACCTGTGTGTATTCTCATTTAATGTGGGCTGAGATTAAGATTTTCAATTTCAGGCAATGAAATTAGTTAAGTAAACTGAAAGAACACCCCCCAAAAAACCCTTCTCAATTTATGGTCTGGGACGTAGCTGTTCAGCTACTTTGGGGCTTGTGTATCCCAGGCTCAAATATACCACAACTGTATGATTAAATGGCATTAAAATAAGTGAGGGTAAAGTGTGCGATTTGTCTGTGTGTCTACACAGAAATAAATTGCAATTTTTGACTTGAGACACCCAGGGTTGTGAGAACTGCCCTTTTGGGTGAGTGATTGTTGTCCCAGCTCCACCATTGCAATGCCATTACTATGCAGTTACCAAAACACACCCGTGATTACAGATGATGTATTGCAGTTTTTATGGTGTGTACTTCAGCTATGATAATCACCTGTAATAAAAAATAAAAAAAATAAAAAAAACATGTTTATGCTCTCCTCTGCATTATCAGTCCATTATGTAACTCCTGGCATTGATTTTGCAGAATCTGTGTGGTGTGGTTATAAATGACAGGGAGTAGAAGGCAGAGAGGGAAAAAAAAAAGAGTTCTTAAAGTTGGTTAGGTCGGAATCAAACTTCTCGTGTTGGAGGTTTTAAAAATTCACAACCCATTTTGGATTGACTTGCTGCTAAATAATAAATAGTGCCTTGGTCTTCCAGAGAATTTCTGCAAGGTGCACATGGAGGTGCTACAGCAGGAAGAGGATCTGCTGGGGAGCCCAGGCTCTGGGATCCCTTCTCAATAATCTATATTTTCCCATAAATCTTCTATTCCTGGAAGGATCATGGCATCTCAGAATGGGTTTAGTGGGAAGGAACCTTAAAATTCATCCCATCCCACCCCTGCCATGGCAGGGACACCTCCCACTGTCCCAGCTGCTCCAGCCCCAGTGTCCAGCCTGGCCTTGGGCACTGCCAGGGATCCAGGGGCAGCCACAGCTGCTCTGGGCACCTGTGCCAGGGCCTGCCAAGGAACAAATCCATCCCAGTGTCCAATTTAAATAGTTCTTCATGTGCACTTTGGGTCTGTGAGGCTTCACTCCCCACCCTGGGCACGGAGGGCTCAGCTGGCGCAGGGCAGCAGGACCTGGTGCTGCAGGGAAGATTTTATATATGGGATTTAATATCTCAGGTTTACCCTTTTAAAGACTTTACATCATTTTTATGTATTAAAATTCCTGCCCATGCCCGTTATTTCCTGAGCACCGGGGTGGTCTCCAGGGATGTTGATGGGCTCTGTTTGTGCTGTGCCAGCAGCGTGGCTGCCCCCGTGTCCCTGCAAGCCCGGTGCCACACGGCTGCTGGCTTTCAGAGCTCTGCATTCCCAGACTCACGGAATCACAGCATCCTCCAGGCTGGGAAGGACCAAACCCAACGAGCCCAGCCTGTGGCACATCCCCGCCAGGGCACGGAGAGCCACGTCCCGCCGTTCCCGCTCGCCTCGGCCTCACCCTTCTCTCCTGCCGGGTTTTGGGGTGTTTTGCAGATCCCCATCCTCATCCCGTGCCACAGGGTGATCCGCAGCAGCGGGGCCAGCGGGAACTACGGCGGGGGCCGGCGGATGAAGGAGTGGCTGCTGTCCCACGAGAAGCTGCAGAAGGAGAAGCTGGCGCTAAGCAGCCACGGCTCCCTGGCTCGTAACGAGCTCTCAGAGCACCCAGCAGAATCCAGGGAAATGGTAAATATTTGAGTGACACATAAATATAATGCAACATCCAAAGTGAAATGCGTGGTGGCACCACTATATTAAAAAAGCGGGATGCGTCCTGGGGGAGGCAGCTCGGCTGCCCTTTCTTGTTTTTACATTTTACAGCAGAATGACTACAGCGATCCGGGCCTGTTGTGCATGGGTTTTGTTCCCATCTCCAGCCCTGTTTTGTTCTATTTTTAATGTCCATTAAAGCAGGGATAAGGGAGTGGGAGGGACGTGGCAAATGTGAGGTGGAAGCTTCTCCCTGAGGAGGCGTCCGGCTCGCGGCGAGTGGCCCAGGCTGGCACGCTGGGCCCTGCCCAGCTCCCCCTCCCCATTTTGGGGCAGAAAATGGAGTTTTACCTGCACAAGGGTTCAGGGGGCACAGTGAGATCTGTGCAAAAGCAGACAGCTGTTGAATTCCTTACTCCTGCCTTTTCTTTTTTGGATGGAGACATGGGAATATTTTTTTTTTTTTTTTTGCGTAGAGAAGGGGAAGTGATGTTGCCACAAATTGTATATTTTGGATAAGCAGTTTGATTAGCCAAACTTGGCGAAATACTGAAAAGCTCATCATAGTTGCTTCTTTATCAGCAGCACATTCCTTTATCACTTGAGTTTTCCTTCAGATTTCCATGTTTCTCTGTTATCCAAAGCTTTATTTCCTGTAGCCTCTCCATTGGAAGGATTCAAGAGACATTAAAGTTAAATTTTGAGGTGGTTTTAGCAGGGTTCTCTGCAAGTACGAGCCAGCAGAAGCTGAAATTTCCAGTATGGGAATCGTAAATTGTAACGTGGAAATACTGATTTTTTTATGTGTTTTATCATATTTTCATGGATGTCTCGTTAGAAAGGCCATTGCTGCCCCCCAAAAATGATTGTGTGGCAATGCGTTAGTTAATCCAGGATTATTGATACCTCGGAATTACTTCAATAAAAAAACTGCTTTGCATGTGCAAGTGTCCTTGGGTCTGTTTATAAATAAAGCACAGGGTGTGATATATGGGGAAAATAAACTATACCCCACTGTACAATATAAAGCTGTATTTTTATCAAGGGTTTCTCGTGGCGATATAAACCACAGAATCAAAGCTCAAGTGGTTTGTATGTGTCACCAGAACCCCGAGATAAAAATACGGCCTTATAATATGTACAGTTTGGGTGTATTTTATTATTTTTTTATATCTCTAATACATGCTGCCACCAAAAGCAGGCGGCAGCAAATGTCAACTTTAACCTTTCCCACATTTGCATCCCTCAGTGGGGTTTTTTTCAGGTTTTGGGGCTTTTTCAGGGATGTGACTTTGTTTTCCTGGGGATGGGGAGTGCTGGGATTGGTGATGCCTTTCCCAAGAAAACAGCCAACTTTGGGAGGGAAATCCTGTTCTGGGGAGGCAGGGATGGACGAGGGGATGGGCAGGGACAGGCACGGGGGACAGGACAGGGCTGGACAGGGCAGGGATAGGCACGGGACTAGAAGGGACAGACAGGAAAAGGGACAGGGACAGGGACAGGGACAGGGACAGGGACAGGGACAGGGATAGGGACAGGGATAGGGACAGGGATGGGGATGGGCAGGGACAGTCAGGGATGGGGAGGGACAAGTGGAGGTGGACAGGGACATAGACAGAGACAGTCAGGAACAGATCTAAGGTCAAGGACAGGGACAGGGAGGGATGGACAAGGGGACAGGGACAGGGACAGGGACAGGG